TTGTAAAATGCTTAGATGAAAACCTGGGAGGAGGGCCTCCCCGGTGGCACAGCGGTTGAGCGCTGGGTTGCGAGGCTGCCCGCAGCCTCTGCAGCGCCAGTTCGATCCCCGGCCGCTAGGCGAGGGTCCCACATGGCACACAGACCTCTCCTGCCGCCCGCTGCTCCCCTCAGCAGCGTACTTCCGCCCTTCTGCCTGTTCTGCTCTCCGCTCTGGCTCTGGTGAATTCTCTCGCCCTCCCGCGCTTCTGACTGTGCCCAGTGCTTGTATAAATAAATAAAAATCTTAAAAAAAAAAAAAACCTGGGAGGAGATCAAGCCGTTGGGTTAGACTACGGTTTCTTAGATATGACACCAAAGGCACAAGCAACAAAAGATTAAAAAAAAGCTTTATCAAAGTTAAAAACTTTTGTGTTGCAAATACAAATGCAAATTAAGACCCACAAAATGAGCAAATATATTTGTAAATCATATATCTGGTAAGGGACTTCTGTACAGAATATATAAAGAACTCATACAAGTCAGTAATTAAAAAGACTTGAAACCCAATTTAAAAATGGGCAGAGGATCTCAATAGACATTTCTCCAGCGTAGATATATGAATGGGCAACTAACAAGTGAGAAGATGCTCAACACCAGGGTTGCTCAACACCCTGTAAGCATCAGGGTGCATTACAGATGATATTACAGTTCAGGAAGTGAAGTAATAGTGAATGCTTTCGCCCAAATGCTGCATGAGGGGCAAGAAAAATGGGTCCCCGAATGTCCTACCTGTTAAGGAATATTTAGAGACTGAGCAAAGAGAGGCAGGATTAAAACAAGCTGTGTGAATGGTGTCCTCCTCAGGTGGGATAAGAAAGTGATGTCTTCATGACAAGGGGCCTGCCAGCCCTAGGGTCCTAGTCACAAGATAACGTGACTCTGGTTGCTGAGTCAATGGGTCTCCAAAGCTGAAAGAAATGGTGTCAACCGTAAGGATACAGAATTTGGGTAACATTTAGTTGAATCCGGCCAACAGGCCAACAGTCAGCCACTTAAAATCAAAAGTCAATGCCAAGCTTTGTTTACTGGGGAGAAGCTGACCTTTCCTGCTACACCTGTTAACCTCCCCCTCCATGCCCCCCTCTCACTTTCCTGACTCCACAAAAATCCTGCAACTGTATGGAACCAAATGATTGAGTCAATGTTTCCCTGTCCCCAAGGAGGACTGAAAACCATATGGACTGTATAAATACATTGGGGAATTTCTAGGGGGTTGGCTGGACTGGACTTAAATTTCTATGGCTCCCTCTGATATAGGCAGCTTATCTGGTCCAGTGGTCTTGGATTTAACTGATGGGATTTGGACAGGATTCAAAGTGTGTGATGAGAAGCTAATATGACCCTATGGGTGGGAACTTTTGGATGAATCTTTGTACTGTTGTTACTTATATATCTAAATATATAGTAGGAATTGACATGTTATATGCTCATGCTCGAATCCTGTGTCAGAGGGGATCATGCCAATCAGGGAAGAACTAGTGGGACAAACTCCCTGCTATATGTTAGCAGTGGATGGGCTACAAGTGAGCACGTGAGCCTCTGCCCTCCAATTTCAAAGACTTCACCCTGTCGATAATAGATAATGTCTTGTTGGTTGACAAATCTGAAGCCTCAGCCTTAAATTCCTTGATAATCAGGGGTGTCTGATAAGCCCCAACAAAATTCAGAGCTCTGCTTGCCTTATGAAGTTTCGTGGGGTGAAGTGGGCAGATTCACAGTACTCAAGTCCTCCTGCTGACATCCACCCAAAGGGAAGTTCAGCTCCTTGTTGGACATTTTAGGATCTGATGCCAGTATGTGCCTCACTTGGACATTCTTAGACTTTTCTATCAGCTAACCCATAAATTAGCATTCTTTGAGTGGGACCCAAACTGATACCCATGAATACTCTTTGTCCCTACCTATATAGCAGCCTGATGAAAGCATCCTAACGTCTGCCTGAGTCCAGAAATTGCAGTGGCTGGCAATCTGACCTGCTGCCATCCCTGTCCACATGCTATGTTTGGAAACAAAAAACCTCATGAGGGCGTATCATTTTGCTTTGCCTGATGCTGTCGGTGGCAGCTCTAGAACATGGGTTCTGCCTTGAACATGTATTAACACACAGACCAGCACAACTTGTAAAAATCTGATTGATGCCAGTTCATATGCTTCTCCTGAAGGCTGAGCAGCCTTGAGTTATGCCACACATGGCTCTCAGGCTGCAACTACTCAGTGACACAGTAAGTATCTCTTAAACCAAACCAATGTAATAATGATTCAAATTCAATTTAACAAGCGACCCCAAACTGGAGTGACCTGTGTGCCTTTCAGCTGTCTGTCTATATGTAGGGGGGAGATAAGGGTTGCTTATGCCTCTTCTATTGAGCCATTGGCAATGACACAAGAGATTAGCAAGCGATACTAAATTGTCTGAGACCTAATGGATGACAAATTGGCTGCAGACTACATCACTACATCCACTGCACCGTATGATAGGTACTCACAGTTGGCTGTGTCTGGGATCCTTGGAGCCATATTTGAGGTCAGTCTTGCTGGTCAACGTCTTCTGCTATTGACATCCCATTGATTTTAGTATTAATGGATGCTGTCTGAGACGAGTAAAACAGGCTTGGTCCCAGCCTCTGTTGGTCAGATTAAGCAGGGTGGCCAATGGAGTGGCACTCAAGTTTGAAAACTTAAGTTTGGATAAAAACACAAGGGTAAAGGCATGGCATGGTATAGGCAATTTGCCAGGGAGCCCAAGCATCCCCATACATTTATGTTGTGGGTATGCCAACAATACAGGGACCTGATTAATCTTTATTCACATTATTTCTCAGCATTATGTTTGAAATGGTAAGTCTTGAGGAATGAGGGTAATGTCTCCTTCTAGGACAAAGAGTGGCCTTATTTATTACTTGCAATAATACAGGTGATTGCCTAAGCACTGTCTTTCTAGGCTGTGACATGAACGTCTGCATGCATGGTATTCATCTAAGCCTGTTCAACTTGCCCCAGAGGACTGGAGTCAAGGGAACCAATACAAGCACAATGCTTATGCTACTTGCTCTGCCATGAAATGTCTTGGTCTCTAACCCAGGAATATCCCATTTTCCTGGTTTTTTTTGGGTTTTTTTTTTTGAAGATTTAGTTTATTTATGCATACAAGAACTGGGGTACAGGCCAGAGTTGTGAGGGGCAAGAGGATTCACCAGAGACATAGTGGGGAACAGAACAGGCAGACTGAAATACACTGCTGAGGGGAGCAGCAGGCGAGGCAGGAGAGGTCTGCTGTGCCATGTGGGTTGCTCCCTGACCCGCCGGGGATTGAACTAGTGCTGCAATGGCTGGGGATAGCTTGATAGCGCTGTCTTTAACCACTGCGCCACCAGGGAGGCCCATAACTGTGGTTTAAGGAGGAAAGGGCTGGAAGGTGGGGGATGAAATAGGTAGCATAGATGACTTTTAGAGAAATTTTTGCAATACAGGGAGCCAAAAATGGGAGGTATGCATAAAACTAGAACCAAGTCAATAGTAAAAATGATTCAGAAATGTAGCGTGAATTACAGGAGTATTTTGAATAGTTGAGGAGATAACTGGTCACAACTAGATGGAATGGCTAGAGGTCAGAGATAGTCATGTTATAATAGGAGGGAAGGAAATTATAGACATAGATTTGATGTTAAAAGATTTGGATGGTGAGAGTTCTTACTGTCACCATTTTCTCAGTGTAAAAAGAAACAGTGAGGAGGGATTAGAAGGTCTCAGTCAAGAGAAGGTGTGAAGTACCTGGGGAGAGGTCAAGGATAGGAATTGTCACACAATGCTGCAAGCCCTAGATTTTCAGGGCTATAAATGTAAAGTGAAATGGACATGGTGGTTTTCTCTCCAGCCATATTCAGCTGCTTAGATACAGATGCAGGGTGGTTGGAGTAGCTTGAATTCTAAGTTCAGAGGGACAAGAGAATAAAGGGTACATGCGAGGAAACGTCTACGCCAGATAAAGAGAAAAGTGAGAGTGATGAAATTACAAAGGGATAGGTGAAAGAATACATTGTTTGGAGATCCTAGTAGAGTCAAAGGCTACTGTGATAGATTTAATAATTAGAGTTCTAGAAAGAGGGATGAGTGGGAAGCTAGCAGTTCGGATTTTTGGACGTTATGACAAGATCTTTCTTGTTTTCAAACTATAGGTTGAGTCCTAGGTCATGAAATCCATTTGGTGGGTCAGTTTCTAAATTAGTATTTTAAAACACTGGCAACACATTATAATAGAGTATCTAAAAAAAGATAATGCCCACACCTCACTCCTAGAGGTTCTCATTTGGACTGCTGTAGCATTCAGACATCAATTTTTTTCAATTAAATTGTCCAGATAATGCCAATGTGCGTGCCTGGTCAATAACCACTGGTCCAAGCAGATACTGAAATGCAAAGGTTGGTGACAGTCATGTAAATCAGGAACTAAAATCTTCTAAGAGTTGGGGAGAGGGGTTGAGTTCAGACGTGTGGTAAACTGCAGCAACTGGGACAACAGGTGGCACAGTTAATGATAATTAATGTCAACAAAGTGCATCTGCAAGTGAGAAAAACTTGGATTTTGTAGACAGATCACAAACTTTGATTTCCTTATATTTTTGAGCTAAATGGAAATAAATAGATGTCAGTTTTTAAAAAAAAGTGTTTAGTATCTAAGTTCAGTGATTTCTCCTATCTTTCCACTATAAATCTTGATTTGAGTAAATTTTTACTTAATTGTAGAAGTATACTATTACAATTATTTTAAAAACTATTTGTAAGAAAAAGAAGATAAATTAACTGGAAAGTTTATTGGAAAATCTGTATCAAGCCCCACAATTTAAAATTATTTAAAAAAATTAAAGACATCTATCCAAATGAGAACATTCAGAAGTTTATGATAAAACTGATTTTAAAAATTGTAGTATCATGGTTATGAAAATAACAACTATGGTGAGCTATAAATTTTTTAATTATAGAAAGACTGAAAACAGTATCAAAATGACTTGTAGTTACTTTGGGGGAAAAGGTGGGAACAAATATTTTTAAATTTATTTACAAATATTTATTGAAAGATTTTCCACATGACATTGCAAATAGTCCCATTCTCTTATACTTCGCTATAATACATGAATTCACACATAGGAAGTGTAATACATTAAATTACAAAGGTGGTGAACAGTAAGTCACATCATACCCAAATACACCCTGAATTATTCAAAGGGCATAACCTGAAATATAAGGCATATTAGTTTTAGAAAAAGAGCACTGTCCCCCCAATATGTATGTATACACTACACACACACACACACACACACACACACACAAATATACTACTTTATAAAACCACAGGGGGAACCAAAATGTATTCTGAATAACTGGTCTTCCAATTTCTTTAGTCAGTTTTTAAATTCTTTTTCAATCATAATGAAATCTATTAAAAATAGGATTTTCACCTGTGTTCAGTTCAAACACGATTAGTCTTTGTAGGTGACATTCTATTTTGTACTTTTATTCTTTCATTAATACATATGCCTAAAATCTTCAAAATGACAAGTTTGAAAATTAATTATAAAAAGTTGTTTTCTATTTTAGATGCCATAGTTTAGTGCTTACATACTGTTCTGGAAGACTGATAAATTACAACATTCAGCTTTACGAAGCAAAAAACTGATACTGAATATGTATTTGAATTTTAACAAAATGTTTTACTATATTTAACCTGTATACTTTCATATTCTGAAATTTTAGATTAATACACTCAGAAATTTTATTTATTGAAAAAATGTACCAAATTTCTGTTCTTTTTTTCCACAAAATTATAAATTTGATAGAACTTGTATTATGAAAACAGTCCATGTGACAGCCAAAATATTGTATATAATATATAAATGTATCTTTCCCATTACAGTTCTCTTACTTGACAATAAATTACATGTGGTAGCCATTATTTTGTAAAGCTCTTTTTGAATGTAAGACTGACTTAAATATATTCCCCTCAGTGATAGCAAACTGGTAAAAAATTAATTTTAGACTAACAAGAAAAACTTAAGCATGACAGCATAGTATCCAAATTGATAATTCCTGTTAATGTATTAAGGATATGGGTTATAAACATAGGTATGAAAACTAAATACATGTAAAAAACAAGTACTGTAAGAATATTTACACATACATATCATGGCTCATTAAGAAAAAGAAAACTAAAGCATAATGTGAACAATACATTGTGTCAATTCACAGTGTAAACACACTTCGAGGAGTAAGTTAAGTCAGGAATAATAAAAACACAGATATAATATCAGTTAGCAATATTAATGCGTATTTTGTTTGTCACATATATACATATATATAGCTCTTTAAAACCAAAATTTTTTACATAAATATTCACTGATTTAAATAAAAGTTGACAGAGGTAGAATTTGTGTCAATGTTCATGATTTTCAGGAACAAGTACTTGAATTATTTCATTACTGTTCTGTCCTTTTAAAAATCCACACAGCCAACGACTGAAAAACCATCATTCTGAAAAAGGGCGAAGAAAGGTAAATTAAGAGAAAAATGATAAACAAAATCACTCAATGTGTTCACAAAAAACCTGAAATGCAGTAGTGTTTTACTAACTGAAATTACAATCTCTAATAAAATCTTTACCCACAGTCAAGTTCTATTTAATAGTTAAGTACTGCTTTATACTTCGAAGACATAGTCCCCTCAAACGACCAAAGTACATCAAAGTACATGAGAACTAAATGAATTAAAGTGAAAAGAATGGAATAATATAGTATGCTAATTGAGAAAAATCACATAGAAGAATGGACAATACAATATCCAGGCTTGTCTGAGTCTGAAAAATAGCATATTATGGATAGCCAAATATTTTGATTTTGATATGTTTACCAATTAAACCATACACAAATTCAAATATGAAAAATTTCACAATGGAAACAATGAAAAAAAAAAAAAAGATTTTTCTGTACCTAGGAAGACATGCTACAGAAGAAATTATCAGATATGCTGCCAACACTACTGTAAAATATAAGGGGAAAAAGAGTAACAAGCTAGGGCCTCCCCGGTGGCGCTGCGGTTGAGCGCTGGGTTACGAAACTGCCCGCAGCCTCTGCAGCACCGGTTCGATCCCCGGCTGCTCCCCGGCCACCGGAGGAGGGTCCCGTATGGCGTGCAGACCTCTCCTGCTGCCCGCTGCTCCCCTCAGCAGTGTACTTCGGTCCTTCTGCCTGCTCTGCTCCCCGCTCTGGCTCTGGTGAATTCTCTCACCCTCCCACGCTTCTGACTGTACCCAGTGCATGTATAAATAATAAATAAATAAATCTTAAAAAAAAAAAAAGAGTAACAAGCTACATGTCCCCTGCCGTATTGTTAGCACACCACAACCACCATGAAGACACCTATAATCTTCTACCCTAGTCGACTGTGCATCCTCACTTTGCTCTCCCCCTTTTCCCTCCCCTCTGGTAGTCTCAGAAATAGTGATCTAATATGACAAACCATTAGATCACTATTTTTAAATGACATTTTTGAAAAAACTTTTAATAACAAGAATAAATGCTTATGACAATATTAAAGGGAAAAATCCCAACAAACGAAAGACAGGATAAAAGTTACTTTGAGTATGAGCACTATTAGAATTGTATATACAAGTATGTATGTGCCCATTATCAATTAAATATGAGAAGGAAATACACCAAGTGCTATCTGATATCTTTTCTGAGTTGTAGGATTATAAGTGATTTTTATTTACACATCCATGTTCATAGCAGCAACTCAAATGTCCATCAACTTACAAAATGAGGTATATACATACAATGGAATATCATCAGGCATAAAAAAGGAATGAAGTTCTAATACATACTACAACATGATGAACCTTAAAAACATTTCTCTAAGTAAAATAAGCCAGACAAAAAAAGACAAATACGTATGATTTCATTCATATGAAAATCTAGAAAAGGCAAATTCATAGACAGAAAAGTAAACGAGAAGTTACCAGGGCTGGAGAAAGGGTAGATCAGGGCTGCGAAGAGTTAATGTGTAATGCGCACAGAGTTTCTGTATGGGGTGATGAAAACTTGTGGAAATGGTGGTTGCTGATGGTTATATAATGCTGTGAATTTGATCTATATAAGGTATACACTTAAAAATAGTTAAGATGTCAACGTTCATGTTATATATATTCTATCACAATTAAAAAAGATTTTTTAATTTACTACAGCTTTAGAGATTGTGAAACTGACTATATTAGTGGTACCTAAATTATAGTCTGGGGATCCCTAGGACTCCCCAAGGCCCTTTAAGGGGGTCTACAAGGTCAAGCCTATATTCATAAAACTAAGAAATTATTTGCTTTTTCAAATAAGTTTTTATTTTTCCAGAAGTTACATGTACGATGAGCCAATTAGTAAATATTTTAGATTTGCAGGCCACAGTTCTCTGTGACAACTACTGAATTCTACCACTGCAGAAAAGCAGTCTCAGATAATATATAGACAAACAAGTGTAGCTATGCTCCAGTAAAGCTTAATTTGCAAAAATATGCAGCAGGGTAGATTTGGCCCATGACCCTAGTTTTCCAATACCTGAACTAAATGCAGCTACGAGTCAAGCATGAGAAAATGTGTCACAACTGTTACAAGGCTTTATAATGAGAAGCTGAACCTCCATCTAATCACATTCAAATTAATGCAGCAGTTTAAAAGGTGTGAAGACACAGTGATTGCAGCCAGCACTGAGAAGAAGACCTCAGAGTGAAAGTGGAAAATAAATTTTTAATCAATCAAACAAAAAACAACAAACAAGCAAAAGTACAGCAATCAGGAACTATTTAAACGGAGGCCATACAAACACCAATAAACACTGGGGAAATCAGCATGTTAAAGTACAGCACTAATGTTCATAATGAGAATGCTGAGTCATGGAGGGAATGCTTAACACTTAATTATCTACTACATACTTCTACTAAAAGAGGCAGAGATACATAATTTTTAAAAAGATTGACTTAACTATTTTCTGCCAATGAGTGTTTTTCAGTCAACTACCTTTCAAACAGTGGCTCTGACTCATAATTCTTTCCCATTTATTCTCATCTCGAAGAATCGACCCATCCCTCTTACCCTGCCCCAGTCAAATGTGTCCTAGTTCTTTATAAGCCCTTTGGAAAACTGTGTTGCTCTATCTGCTCAAGCTTGAACACATGCCCGTCCAATGACTTGATGTGCACTGAAATGCATGTCCAGTGATTTGACAATTTCACTCCCATGTATATACCCAAAAGAAATGTACACATCTGTTTACCAAAATCAGGTACTAGAATGATCATCATAACTTATTTGGAATAGCTCAACTAGAAATTACTTAATGAAATGCATAGCAGAACAATGAAGTCCCATAATGGAATACTATGCAGGACAAGACTAAACAATCTAGAAGAGGAACAATATGGATGAATCTCACAAATGTACTGCTGAGGAAAAGAAATCATTTATAAAACATCCAAAAATAGACAAAAAGGAATCTACATTTTTAGAGAAGAGGTCATAACCATAAGGGAGTCTAAGAGGGGTGACGTCTTGTTTCTTGATGTGGGTACAGATTACAGTGGTGCGTTCAATTCGTAAAAACTCACTGAGCTGGTATTTATGATAGGGTACTTTCTATGTGTATATTATAATTTATAATTTATAATTATAATCCTAGCTTTCAATATTATTATATTGATCTTGAACTGATTCTGCTGTTCAGTTCATATCCCTTACTTCCCTGTTTCTGGTTTCTACCTTCCCCACAGTACCCACAAATACAGCTGTAAAGTTAATCTGCCAGAATAGTTCCTACACTTTAACCCTTCAAGTGCACCCATCCTATGCTTAGCATGTCCTTCAAAGGTTCCCCTGACTTATGGAATAAAGTCTATAATCACTAATATATTTAATATATTCCATATGTTTCATTCTACTTTCCATTATTTTCTCCCTCATTATTTTTCAACAAGCTAACATTTCTGCCAGACTGAATATATTATGCTGCATGTGTTCCTGTTTCTACGTCCATGCTCACACCCTACTATCTGTTATTTAATCCTTGAAGCTGGCACGTCATCAAATCTCATATTGCCATTTAAGGTTTTGTTGTGAATGTCTTCTTTTGGAAATGTGGTATAATTTATGTACAATAAAATGCACAGGTTGTATTATTCAATTCATTGAGATTTTACAATTAATTATACCCATGTAGCCATTAGCACCAAGATATAAAACATTCTGTTATTTTAGAGAGTTCTCCTGACCACCTTTCAAGGTAACTAGCTCTCTCCCTGCACAGAAAATTACTTCCTAAATTTTTATAACTATAGATTAGTTTTATCTGCCTGTGGTATTACATACATACCTTTCTGATAAGTATTAATTCATATGCTCAGGAGAATGTAAAGGAGACCTTAGAGTAGAACTAAGAGGTGGTGTAGGAAGACCATGCCGACGCATCTCTTGGATTGCTCGCTCTCTGTCAGTAAAGATCAAAGCAAAAATAAACATCAGTAAAGAGGTGATATGTAAACACTATTAAAAAACCCAAAAGGGCCTCTCTGGTGGCACAGCAGGTTGAGCGCAGCTCTGTGAAGCTGTCTATAGCGCAGGTTTGATTCCAGCTGGCCAGGGGGCTACCCACATGGCACGGCAGACCTCTCCTGTCACGCCCACAGCTACCCTCATCAGTGTCTTCGGTCCATCTGCCTGTTCTGCTCCCTACTCTGTCTCTGGTGAATCTTCTCACCCTCCCACGCCTCTGGTCTGTATCCCAGTTCCTTATATAAATAAAAATAAATCTTTAAAAAAAAAAGCAGGATATAAATATAAGGTGCTGTTATTATAATTAATGCAATCTCTACTCAATTAATATTTCTACTAAATTTAAATCCTCAGTACTATTATGATTTTTAAGTAACTGATAACAGATTTAACTAAAAGATCATGTAATAAAAAAGACTCTTCAAAATCCTAGGACTACATATCAGTTCTCTGAGTACAGATTTTCAAAGCTGGTCATTTACCTCCTCTGCCCCATCCTTTCCCACTCTTCTTGCACAATAATCTATCTTTCTTCTTTTTCCGATCTTAAACTCCTAAGTGCCATATAGGGAATAATCCATTCTCTGCTATGCTTTCCTTTCCTGTATCTGGGTCAGCCCCACAAGCTTGGTGACGGTGCTGTCATCTCCTCTGTAGGGTATTCAGGGTCTTGTATCTCTAGATGTTTTCTACCTTGAGTTCTTTTGCATCCAGACTGCTTCCTAGTTCGGCGTTTCATAAACATTTCATTATTATATTCCTACAAGAACTTTTTTAGCTACATCCCCTACCCAATGAAGTTTTCATTCATTCACACTATTTATGGCTCCTTAAAGAGTGGTAAGAACATGCTCAAGTGGCTCAAGGTTTCTTTGAGAACGAGGGTCTAGGAAAAAGGGGAAGTTAAGGAGTTTATAGGCCTAGGTTATAGAGAGCTTGCTTTAGGATTTGAAGGGAATTTAAGTTATCAGTAAGATATGGAAGTCATTATATATGTATAGTTCAGCACATTAAGAAACTAATGTTCTAGGGGCTTCCGTGGTGGTACAAGGGGTTAAGTCTCAGCACTATCAAGCTATCGCCAGCCACTACAGCATGAGTTTGATCCCCAGCCAGCCAGGGAGCTGACCCACGTGACTCAGCTGACTTCTGCTGCTTCGCCCGCTGCTCCCCTCAGCAGTGTATTTCAGTAGATCTGCCTGTTCTGTTCCCTACTCTGTCTCTAGTGAATCCTCTCATCACCCCTGCACCTCTAGCCTACATCCCAGTTCTTGTATGCATAAATAAATAAAATAAATCTTAAAAAAAGAAAGAAACTAATCTTTTAAGTTACAAGGAAGTAACATAACTTTCACAAGATTGATACAACCTTGGGTTTTCTCTTTGAAATCACGGAAAAAAAATTTCCTAGGAAATGTCCACCTATACTCCAAAAAACCTATCACTCTCAAGTTTTGTTGCAAATATAAGAATAAGAGAGCTAAAAAGAAGACCTAACAAGCAATTTGGCCACTACTTAAGAATCAAATCTCAATAATGTTGGTGTCAATAGTATTAATATACAAGGAAAGAGCACCCAAAGAAAAGTAACATATAGTTTTCAATTTTAACTGTTAAAGGCAGATCTGATGCCTGTTTGTAATGCCTGGAGATTATAATTTTCAACATAATAAAGCAAAGGAACTAAAATATAAGTCAGTATAAAAATTATCAAATTGAATGGAATATATTGTAGTGGTTAAGAGCACAGGTTTTAAAATTAGGTAGTGTGCGCCTGGATTTTAATCTTGGCTCTGCAATTAACTATTTGTTTGATCTTGGTTTCCTATAATACACATAATAATACGTTGTTGGTAAGATTAATCAGATACATGTATGATATCTGGCACATATTGTTAACTGCACTTGATCATCATCACTTTCATGATGATTTGTATTTGGACTTTCCTATTACGCCTCCTGTAGAATCCTTACTAGCTTGTTGATTTCCTAACTATACCTTTGAAATAATTCTCTCTGAAGAATTTCTCTCTGAAGACTATTAAAAACACCTATATAGGGCCTCCCCAGTGGCGCAGCGGTTGAGCACTGGGTTGCAAAGCTGCCCGCAGCCTCTGCAGCGCCGGTTTGATCCCCGGCTGCTCCCCGGCCACCGGAGGAGGGTCCCGCATGGCGCGCAGACCTCTCCTGCTGCCCGCTGCTCCCCTCAGCAGTGTACCTCGGTCCTTCTGCCTGCTCTGCTCCCCGCTCTGGCTCTGGTGAATTCTCTCACCCTCCACGCTTCTGACTGTACCCAGTGCTTGTATAAATAAATAAATAAATCTTTAAAAAAAAAAAAAAAAAAACAAAAACCTATATATTTCATACTTTATTTACTGTAAGGATATTATCTCTACAATACTTGTCTTTTTAGAAAGAACTATGCTTTTTTTTTTTTTTAAAGATTTATTTATTTATTTATGTCTACAAGCACTGAGTATAGTCAGAAGCGTGGGAGGGTGAGAGAATTCACCAGAGCCAGAGCGGGGAGCAGAGCAGGCAGAAGGACCGAAGTACACTGCTGAGGGAAGCAGCGGGCGGTAGGAGAGGTCTGCGTGCCATGCGGGACCCTCCTCCGGTGGCCAGGAAGCAGCTGGGGATCGAACTGGCGCTGCAGAGGCTGCGGACAGCTTCGCAACCCAGCGCTCAACCGCTGCGCCACTGGAGAGACCCAAGAACTATGCTATTTTTAAGCCACGGTAAATCCTTTCTGGAATAGGACAGGGAATAAATAAAAACACATTCCAGTATTAAAAAATTTTTCTTACCGTTCGTATCTTTCAGTTGAAATCTGCCTCTTGAGACTATCAAGATCAGTTTGGAATTGTGCCACTTTAGCCCGAAGCATGGTATTTTCCCGGCTTTGGCTAGTTCTTGAAAAACAGATTTAAAATTAAATAAATATATATTCTGTGTTGTAGAGTCAACTGTGACAAATTTTTATTTTTGTTATGAATAAACACAAGTGGAAGTGATCCTTAAGGATGATAAAAGAGATGACCAAGACTTCAATATTAATTTTCAAATCTTTTGGAGCTTCTAACACTAAGTTTTCTTTTTCATTTATCTCATTTATTTAACATTTACTGAGCTCCTATAGTATGTGGCAGGCACTGCAGTGATGCCAGAGATACAAATTTGAACAAGACATGAATTGTAACATCAGAAAATATGTATTTTCATTGGCTCTTTCTTGACTCCTGCTTCAGAAAAATATTCCTAACTTCTTAAAAAAGGTAATTATTCCACTTGTGTTATCTATCTACTGTGTTTCCTCCTCTTTTTAAACAAATATGTACCCATTTCTCCATCCTAAAGAGATACCATCATCAATCTCCTAAAAGATAAAGAATATACTTATGAGGCTCAAACCTCACAGCATGTATGACGTCTTTTTCCTAATCCACACAATGAGAGAGAGCAGACTCATTCCCCATCCTGAAATGCTCTTGCCTTTGCTGAACATCTTTTTTCTTCCTAAAACTGAGGCATTTATTTAAAGTTCACTCATTCACTTCCAGGAATACCACACCTTTCTGTGAAGATATACAAATCTACCAATATTCAATACATCTCCAAATACTCTGTATCTCCTGAAATAAACCCCTGAATTTCTAAAAGCAGCAGCCATATAGTTAAAATATTTTGGTTTTGTACCATCCTTCACATTTCCATCCTCCTCTGTTCCACAAATCAAGAAGTTGTTTTTGATCAGCTATTTCCTCATGTAGGTTGACTTATGACACTTACAATTTGCTTTCTGAAAGGGTTAGCTTCTCTTTAAGTAGCTGAATTTCTGTATCCTTCTCGTGGGAGGTTAAATGAGACTGAAATTCTTTATCTCTATTTGTAGCCAACAATGATTCAAGGTTTTTAATTGTATGTCTCTCACTTAAGAGTTGTTTTTTTAACAGGTCTGATTCTGATTTTACATTTTCTAATTCTGCTATAACCTATAAGAAAAACAAAGTAGATCACTTCAGTATGAGTTTAGATATGCTCCAAAATTATCTGCAGAACTATATGCCCATCAGTTGCTCTATTTTGGGGACCAGCTTAAGATTTTGAGCTACTACTTCAAATGTAAGAAAATCACCTTATTTTCAAAATAATTTTTGCCATTTTAGTCAGGGCTTATTTGGCCATACGACCTACCACAACCCTCTAATAGTTTTCACTCATACTATATTGTCAAGAGAGGGTCATTAACTTGAAATTCTAAAATGTGGCCACCTTATCAGCAAGGAGGCCCTTCTAGCCTATTAAATATGTATCTCTGACCACACAGTCAAGTCAGTATTAGTATTTCTCAGCTACTTGAACACAAAGATAGTATAAAATTAACAAAATGAAAACACCCACATTTGAATACAAATACTAAGTTATTTAAAAGCAATGTCTCTCTTTGTGGATGGAAACTTTTACAAGTAAGAAAGATTTAAATGCCATGAGATTTTAATCAGAAAAAAATATTTCACTTAGGAAGTAATGATAGTGCTTGATAATTCATTTATATTTTATCTTTAAACAGAGAAAGAATGTATTAGTTTATGTTCCTCTTCTATAACTAGGACTTGTATTCTCCATTTACTCTAAACCAGAGAGCATGTAATTTCATCGCTGTTTGCCAGAGAAATCTAGTAGTCAAATCTAGTTGTTAAAATTCTGTAGTCAAAAATGCTCCAAAAGGAAAGAAATATATTGGATAGTAACTGATAAAGCAAAACAGTTAAGAGTAGGACTCAATAAAACAAAACCCTGAAACAATATCTTTAATCTTACCCTCTCCAACTCAAGGCTTTTGGCATTCAACTGTTGAGTCATAATATCTTTGCCTGAGTCAAGCTTAATGCATAGTTCTCTAAGAGATGACAAATCACTTAATGTTGATGCTTTCTCATCTTCTTGTTGTCTCAGATGTTCTTCTAATGTAGATATAGCTTTTGCCATTGATGAGATCTGAGATTCATAAGCATGATGCGCATTTATGTGCTGAAAAAAGAAAAATAAATAGGTAAAAAGTTAAAGTATTCTGACAATTTTAAAGGCTTGAATATGTAGCCACAAACTCACTTTATAAATATAAGTCGATTTGTGAATATATTAACATAGTCTCAGGAAGTTGTCTGCTATTTAAAGACCCTATTTAATGCTTAACACAATGAATTCTGTATAATCATTAATCATGGTAATTAAGTAACTCATGTATATATTTGGAAATGCAAAGATGGAAATTGTTTTAGGGTGTTATGAATTATGAGGGCTCTTTGAAGTAATATTAACTTTTCTTTTATAAATTCTACTATGATGGGCCTCCCCGGTGGCGCAGTGGTTGAGCGCTGGATTGCGAAGCTGCCCGCAGCCTCTGCGGCCTGGTTCGATCCCCATCTGCTCCCCGGCCACCGGAGGAGGGTCCCACATGGCGCGCAGACCTCTCCTGCCGCCCGCTGCTCCCCTCAGCAGTGTACTTCGGTCCTTCTGCCTGCTCTGCTTCCCGCTCTGGCTCTGGTGAATTCTCTCACCCTCCCGCGCTTCTGACTGTACCCAGTGGTTGTATAAAGAAATAAATAAATAAACAAACAAACAAACAAATAAATAAATCTTTAAAAAAAAAAAATTCTACTATGATAATGCATTTTTAAGAAAATGTAACACATATACTTACCATTAAATTGTCTTTAAATTCTGTATTTTAAAAGTGGAGTTTGCTTTAGAACTAAATATCTGAAACCATATTCAAATTTAATTTAACCTAAAAATAAATACCCAACTTTATGAAATTCCTAATAGAAATAGTACATAAAGTGTGAAATACTGAATAGATATTTTTCCTAGAATAACCCACATTTTCAATTTCTCACAATTTAAATTGTGAGTGATAAATACAAAACACTATAATCTACACTTCTAGTATTTGATAAGAATTCCACACCTGAAAAATAATATTTTAATAGGCTTTAATGAAATTATCAACATTAAAAATCTAATACTGTGCTGTGAAAATGCATACAGAAAATGTATACAGAAAAATATTGGAATCTTCCCTATAAGAAACAAAATATAAATACATAAAAGTCAATTTCATATACCATATAAGAATACAGACAATGACAAAGAACAAAAGAACTAATAATACTTCTAATACTCCCGAGAATTCTTGAAAGTTGAAAAGCATTTAGTTTTTTCTTTAGTTATTATACTCCTAATAGAGAAACTTACAGTGTATTAGTTTCCTCAAATTGTAACAAATTACTGCCAATTACTGCAGGGCTGAAAACAGAAATTTTTTCCTTCACAAATATGAAAATTATAAGTCTGAAATTTAGATGTCCACAGAGTTCAAATAGCTTTTTTCTGGGGGACAATCTGTTCCATGACTCTGCCAGCTTCTGGTAGTTGCTGGCAATCCTTGGCATTCTTTACCTTATATACTAATCTTTGATTTGTCTTCATCTTTTGTTTTCCCTTGTGTTTCTTGTGTTCAGATTTCTCATGTCATATAAAGTAACTGGGTTATGGTGTATACCCTTATCTTAACTTATTACACCTGTAAAGGGTCCATTTCTAAATAAGGTCACCTACTGGGGAGTTAGGGTTTCAACACATATTTTAGGGGGCCATAATTCTACCTACCCCTGGCTCTCCCAAATTCATGTTCTTCCCATGTGCAAAATACACTCACTCCATTCTTCCAACATTCTAATATTAACACTAAGCACAAAGTTTTACAGAAACATCATCTAATAAGAAATGGGTAGGACGCTAAGGTATAGTCCATCTAGGGCAAAACTCCTCCCCCTCCACAGATCTGTGACACTAGAAAGCAAGTTCCAAAACACAAGTATAAAATAGGCAACCCTGTTCTGAAAGAGAGAAACTAGAAGGAGTAAAAGGGTAGGTAGTCAAAAGTAAGCTCGCAACCAAGCAGGCAAATTCCATTAGAGTTCAAGACCTAAGACTAATTATCTGTGGCATGATGCTCTGTTCTCCAGGCCTGTGAGGGTGGCCCTTCCTTCTTAGCCCTTAGCTATAGTGCCAGCCTTGTCTTCTGGAATGGAGGAAGCAGTAGCCCTATCCCATTGTGTGTGTGGGCCCTCCGGGTCTGTGGGGCAAAAAGCAGCCTCACCAGCCTTTGAGCAGTCCTACTAGTCTCTGAGCCACCTTCAGAGTCATTCTATTTTTAACTTGATGGAGAATGCATGTTGGCAGAAAAGTGGCCTGGTTTTTATTTAGCAAAATCCCAAAAGTTTAAGATCTTTCTTTCACTTCAGCCTGTTTCTGTTCCTTTCAGTTCACAATGGCAGTGTTTTTGTTGAGATGACAGATTGGATTCATGAGTCACATACCTAGTCTTTTCACCCAGGTGTTGTCTAGTCAATCTTGGTCCTGTCTTCAGAGGATACTATTTGGACAGACTAAAAATTTTTCAAATCATTAAGTCCTGTTTCCTTTTTTGCTTAGCATTTTCTTCCTCAATGTATATCTTTCCTTTACATTTTATTATGAGCAGCAAGGAGAAACCAGGCTGAAACTTTTAGTATTTATTAAACCATCTTCATGACAAAAGCTTATTTTTAATCCTAGCAAAAGAAACTGAATTTTTTACCTTAGACAAAAATTAACTCAAAATGGACCAAATAACTAAACTTAAATGCTAAATTTATAAAACTCTTAGAAGAAAAGTCAAGAGAAAAGCTTTAGCAACAATTTGTTGGATGACACCAAAAATACAGGGAACTAGAGAAAAAAATAAATTGGACACATTCTACACCACAGATGAATCTTGAGTGAAACTTAAGGTTAAGTGAAATAAACTTGTCACAAAAAAAGACAAAAATTTTTATGATTCCATTTATATATGCAAGTTAAATTCATAAGAGAGGAAGTGGAATGGTGGTTGCCAGGGATTAGGGGAAGAGACCATAGAGAGTTAGTGCTTAACAGATACGAAATTTCAATTTAGGAAGCTGAAAAAGTTCTGATGGATGGTGGTAAAGACTGTTTAACAATATGAAGGTACTAATTACCACAGAACTACATACATAAAATGGCTGAAATTTGATGGTATATGTACTTTACCACAATTAAAAAAAGTTTGATGATAATGATTATCATCAAATTGATTTTATCAATGCTTAAACCTCAAGTATCTTTGAGTGTTTTCTAAATATCATCTTCACAAGACAAATGAATGTATTACCTCCTGAATTTCTTTTTCTAATAGTTCCACTCTTTCTCGTAGGTGTCTCCTCTCTGTGTCAATAGAAAGAAGTTCCAGTCGAACTGAGCTGCTCTCTCCCTCAGCTTGATGGGCTTTGACCTCCCAGTCTTCAGCACGATTATGAAGCATCTGAAATTTATCTAACAAATCTTGATTTTCTTTTTCCTGGTTTAAATGTAATTGTTTCTAGATTAGTAATTGTCACTCACTGAAATACCCATGCCATAAACATATACACAAAATGGTAGTTTTGTTTTAATTTAGGAAGCATAAACGATGTGTAGATACAATAGGAAGTAACATCTGTGGGAAAATACTAGAAGACAGTAGGCAAGACCTCTATCTAGTCTCATAAGTAAATCTCTAAGAAGACAGATTTAACAAACACGAAAAAGTTGAAAAAAATCAGTCTTAAATCCAACCTAAATAGTGCTTTTTCACCTTAGCAGCCATTAAGCTCTCCCATCGTGACACCTCAGTTATGTAATTATGAACTCTACTCTTCATGTCTTCTTTTTCTTGCACTGCAGCTTCCAATTCCAATGAAATTTCCTATAAATCCAAATATTAAAGATAAATCTAAAATGAATGCAGTACCTAAGGAGTTCTATTTATATTCATATTGCTTCTTTTGAATTTGGAATAAAAGAGAATAGGAAAAAAAGTAAAACTGCTCGTAGGTGTTATTTTCAAGTATTTTTCTTGGCCGAATCCGGCTTTTTAACCAAACCTTATTATACATCTCTTGCAATAGTTCTGACCATGCTGGCATTTTTATTAAGGGCTAGCTATGCTCAGGGATTACATATTTTAAATTCATATTTCAGCAATATTCTTTATACTGAATACTGAAATTAATTTTTTAATCCTTTAACAAACTAGCACAATAAAAACCAGTACCTTTCAGTACTTTCCATTCTAATACTCATTAACTTACAGGTATATTTCTAAGTCACTAGAAATAAGTATGAATAATTAAATCTATTGTGGGTCTTTACAATCAGGCAACTTGGTCCTGGGAGTGATGCTGGGTTCTCACCCAGTAAAGTAACAATGATTTTGCTCATAAAGAATTCCATGCTTTGGGCACAGCAGACCTCTCCTTGTCTTGCCCGCTGCTCCCCTTGCAGTATTTCAGTAGAGCTGCCTGTTCTGCTCCCCATTCTGTCTCTAGTGAATTCTCTCACCACTCGTACCTCTGGCCTACCCCCCAATTCTTATATGCATAAATTAATAAATCTTTAAAAAAAAAAAAGAATTCCGTGCTTCCAGTTTTAGGATGCTTTGTAACAAAGGTCTAAATGGTGAGGAGACCACTACAGTTGCATCCATTAGACATCCTGTAATACATAATAGCAGCATTCTAAACCACATTTTAAAAGACTCTTACAAATACTATTCTCCTTAGATAATTATTTCTCATGTAATTATTTGTGTTATCAAATTTTAGGAAACATAGAGCTTTAAAATTCAGCAAACAACAAATATACTGTAAAACTGTATACTGCAAGCTGTCAAAGTTTATACATTGTGTTCATACTTGGTTTTCTCTTGCCATTGTAGCCAGATCATCTTGTAATCGTCTGTTTTCCTTAAAAGATATTTCTTTAGATTTTCCTACTTCATCAAGTTCTTTGTGAGTTGTATCTAGCTGCCGCCGGAGGCTGTTTATCTCCCGGTCCCGATTAGACAAAGTTTCCTTTAGCTGACTGTTAAATGAGTGATATGGAAATAATAAAGGAAACTTTTTGGATTTAGTTCATTTAAAAGATAATTGTTATAACTGGAATTAAGCATGCTAACAATACAAGAAATTCTAGTAACTCAACTAGGATACTCATTAATTAGATAAAGCAGCTATATGAAATCTCTACCAATCACCATATGCAAATGAAGTAAAAAATTAAATTATTCCTAAAGTAAAAACAGAAAACTTGCAAGTGTTAGGAGTAAAAACAACAAATTCAATTGGGAGATACTTTATTTAATATTTTATTCCTCACTACTACATACAATGCAAAGGTATTTAAATAAAATTAATGACTTGTCTTGAGATACAACACATAAAAAATGTAAAATTTTGTTAATAGTGTTTAAGATAGGTTTAGAGGTACAATAAATTCAAGACTGATGACTAAAGTAATCTAAGTTTTAATGATTAAGTCCTGATAAGGGTAATTACAGTAGAAAGAAAGGGCAAGTAGAAATGTTAAAGAATAACTAGTAAGTTATAATGATTTCAAGGTGGGGATGAGAGAATGAGGGAAAATTAAAAAGGATAATATAATTTCACATAGAAGACAGAAAAGTATGTTGCCATAGGCAAAACTGGAAAAACTGAACAAGGAAATTTTCCTGCTGCTGTCTGTTACTTAAATAGACCAAATTAGCATTCACTGAAAATTTTTTTAAAAGTTTGATACTATTTCATTGATTACTTACTTCATAGAAGAGTCATATTCTGAGACTGTTATCTTCATCTGAGCAATAGTTCTGTCCTACAGAAAATTTAAAAATATGATTCTAATCCATTCCCATAGAAATCTTTAGTTTAATTTCCATAATTTATCAAACTTACATAGTTCAAATCCAATTATATAAATTACCCTATAATGAAAGCTACAAGTAAGCATGTTTTCATCACCCAGATGGAGATACACATATTGGCATGTTTCTACCCACCTTGATAACTTGGTTTCCTTGAATTTAATGTAATCATATCTGATAAAAATCACATTCAATATGTCAAGAACTTTTGATTCAAATAACTGGGATAAAATGAAATTTAAATATATTCTAATAAAGTCCTGGCATTAGGACCTTGTACACGGATAATAAGAATGGCATTTTTGACACAGAGAATGAAATCATCTTTTCTTTTCAGATACTAGAAGATATTTAACAGTTACATACTTTATTAGCTAGGTTTTCTTGCAAGTTTGCAATCTTTTCTGTCTTTTCATCTACAGTCTCCTGGAGAAAGTCCTTCTCTTTATCAATAGCACCAATGGTCTTTTTCATTACATGAGCCTCCTCATTCTGTGAAGTCATCTTAAGGTGTAGTTTACCTGTAAATGAAGATTTGTTTGTTAGACAAAGTAACTTCAGGTTAGCAAAAACAAAATTTAAAAACACTTACCTATTTTCTCCTCCAGTGTTTTAATTTGTGCTTGGGCTAATTCAACTTCACCTCTTTGTGCGGAAAGTCGATGCTGATAATCATCAAGTGACCGCTGCAGCTGCTCATTTACTATCCTAGAGATAAAACAATGGCACTCTTTATCTCTGGGAGGAATAGTTTTTTAAAAATGAGAGCTCTTAAAAACTTTTTTTCTTATTTTTAAAGTTTATTTATTTTAAAGCTCTTCCAGAAAAACAATTAATAGTATTAAATATTATTCCTTACTGCCACTCATTCTTCTTCATATGGCTGTACCTTCCCCAAAATAATATAGTATAAACATCAAATTAATGGCATACTCTCAGAGACTTCCTGGTAGCTTTAAAGCTCTTCTCTGTATCCTAATGTCAACTTTCTTTTCTTAAAATCTATTTCTAAAGGGCCTCCCCGGGTGGCACAGCGGTTGAGTGTTGGGCTGTGAAGCTGTCCACAGCCTCTGCAGTGCCGGTTCAACCTCCAGCCGCGGGGCGAGGGTCCCACACGGTGCACAGACCTCTCCTGCTGCACCCGCTGCTCCCCTCAGTAGTGTCTTCGGTCCGTCACCTGTTCTGCTCCCTGCTCTAGCTCTAGTGAATTCTCTCACCCTCCCACGCTTCTGACTGTACCCCGTGCTTGCATAAATAAATAAATCTTTAAAAAAAAATCTATTTCTAAAATCCTGCTTTTACAGTACAGCCTGACAACGTCAAAGGAATATTCATAAATCCTGACCATTCTAACCAGTGAACTTTTAACTTTGCTTCCTATTCTGAAATCTCTGCTGGGTAATCAACTGGAGGTTATAATGAGAGGAACTGATACCAGGAGAACTTGGAGAACAGGAAAGGCTGAGACACGAGACAGTGATTTAAACAATATAGGATCAGAAGGAACAAAACAGCTCCCAGGAAAACACAAGTGTTTTACTGAAATGTTGTTGAGCAGCCACTACCTCTGGACAGAAAACAACCACTAAAAAACTTCCCAACCACCTAGTGCCTAATCGATAATCTGGCACATTGGACAACCGGAAGTCTGACAGTATATAGTCATAGACAGGGCTGGGCACCCTCCCTTGGACCCCCTCCTGCTGTCAGGAGTTCTTTCCATTTGCGTCAATAAATCCACACTTGCTTGCTCTCAAGTCTGGTGTGGCGGCTGTTACTCTTCAACCGGCGTACACACCTGGACCCACAAGCATCCACTCCCCTAACAACAGTAAACAGGGAAGGAAGGCATTTCTCATAGTGTAGGGGGGACTTCAAGACTAAAGACTGGTTTCAAAAGAAAGGGATGTACTGGAAATAAAGATGGCTTCAGATTAATCTGTTACTTATCAGTCACATTACTTTTCAGAAGTAACAAGAATCTGCTCTAATATTACCTAGAACCTTCAAAATGCTTTTAGTCCTGACTAAGGAGTTCTTAACCTGCCTTGCTGGCAAGACAAGGCTCTCACTTAAGCTATTTACCAAGAAGTGCCATAGGACCCTTTAGGGTTCATCTGAAAATAAGACCAAGACAAAGATACCAAGGATGCCTTGGTATACTTGGTAGAGGAGGTTTGGATTCTGAAGCCACTAGGAAGATGGGACATTCTCATAGAAATGAAGATGTTTTACTGGCAATACTGAGGTATTCTGAAAAACAAAAGAAATGACCATGTCTTAATAGCAAGTGAATGATGACCCAGAGGTAGGAAGGAAAGTTAAGCTGAGACTGACTTCTTTAGAAGTATACAAACAGAACCCACATTAGAACTACACTAGGTTCAGGCAATTTTACTCCATAAAATTACCTGTGCAGTCCAGATTACTGCACTATATTAAGCTGCTTCTAAAAGCTGCAGCTGTTGCTCTGAGAAATATAACTACAAGGAGTGAAAGAAAGAAGAAAAGGAGGAGCAACATGGCGGCGAGGAGAGGCTGCGAGTAAGATCTCCCATTAAAAAAAGTGAATAGGGAGGAAAAGCGGCAGGTCCCAGTGAGAACCGGGACACGGAAGATAAACGGGTGACGCCAGCAAACTACCCGAAGAAGAAAGTGGCCATAAAAGAGGACTAGAAGGGAGGGAAGCACAGAACCCTGCTCCCCTCCCCCGCCCACAGAGGCGGCACTCTCCGACCTGCAGAGAGGAGGAAACAACAAACCAAAACGGCCCACAAGAACAAACGACGCAGCAAGCGGGACTGTGCGTGGAAAGGAACTATTGCAGCCACCACACCCCGTGAACGGGAGCTGAGGCGAACCCTGCAGGATCCGCCGCGGCGGTGAGCGAACGGCTCCGGGCGCCATTAGAGAAGAACAAAGACCCCGGGAGACGCGCACACAGCCCGGGCTGCCGGTAAGCTGGCGCGGAAACGCGGCTCGCTCGGGGAGCTTGAAAAGCAAGTGCAGACCTGGATCGCGGCTGCCCAGGTCCCCGCGCCTGCGACCTAGGCTTGCGGGGAGACGCACGGAGGTCCTCACTGAGGTGAAGGTCCCTCCCTGAGTGAGCAGGAACCAGGCGCCCAGGCACGGGAGCTGTGCAAAAGGCGCCATTCCCGCGCCACTGAACTGGGCTACAGCCCGCGTCCTGGAACTGAGGGCTTTGAACTGAGACCCGGGGCACGAAAATTCGGGGCGTGGTTTCTCCACGACGGTGGGGCACAAGGCAGACACAGCACCCCAAAGCTGTTGAGGTGTACCCTACCATTCCCGCTCTGTTCTCTGTCCCACGGGGTGGGGGGAGGCGAAAAACAGCCCCCCAAGGACAATAGGAGAGATCTCTGGCGCCACCTAGCGACCAGGAAAAAAAAAAGTCACTAACACCCTATAAAACAGGACATTTCTTAAGACTGCTTGAAAAGGGCAGAAGGTTTCTGGAGGACCCAGTGGCCAGCCGGGAAGTTATTCCACGCCAGGCCCCTTCCGACCAGCAGTCTGAGCCCACAGAGGGAGCAGGCACCCACGTCCGGGGCAGACCGGGGGCGCAGAAGAGTGTGCCTGAAACCGGAGGCGCAGGGACTGCATCCCGCTTCGCCATTTGAGAACAGGGACATTTCTTCAGTAAAAACTGCCTAAAACCAGCAGAAAGCTCCCCCAGAAGACAGAGATGGCTCCTGGAAGAGCCAGAGGGGAGCGGAGAAGTTCACCCAAGATGTCAGTCAGTCCGAGCAACACAGTGTCCCAACGCATACGACAAATTAGAAAACAGACAGTAGGGAGTAGAAGAACCACACGCAACCTAACAACTCCTCAGGAAAGAAGCACACCACAAAAAGAAAACCACTCCCCAGATTGCAACGACAGCAACTTGGAAGAACTTCTGAGCCTTCCAGAAAGAGAATTTAAAATTGCCATGATTAAAAAAGTGATAGATCAGAAGAAGGAAATTGAGTCCCTAAAGAGGGAAGTAAGAGAAATGCAGGAGATCAAAGAATTAATGGAGGAACTAAAGAACTCTGGGAAAAGCAATGAAAGCAGAATAGATGAAATGGAAGAACGAATAAGTAATCTTGAAGACACAGAAATAAAAAGAACCAAAACAGAAAAGGAAAGAGAAGTACGAAGGAAAAAGAATGAAGAAAGACTTCGGGAACTATCTGACTCCATGAGGAAAGGAAATATAAGAGTTATAGGAATTCCAGAAGGAGAGGAGAGAGATGTAGGAACAGAGAAAATATTCATGGATATAATTGAAGAGAACTTCCCAAATGAGAAGAAGGAGCTGAAAATTGATATACAAGAAGCAAGAAGAACACCAAACTTCCACGACGAAAGGAAAAACACAGCAAGACACATAATAGTAAAGCTCCCAAGAATCCAGGACAAGGAAAAAATAATGAAGCTGACAAGAGGGAAGAAACAGATAACATTCAAAGGAAAACCAATCAGGCTGACATCAGACTTCTCTGAAGAAACACTACGGGCAAGGAGAGAGTGGAGGGACATAGTCAACAGACTCCAAGAAAACAGATGCCAACCAAGAATACTCTATCCCGCAAAGCTCTCTTTCCTCCATGAAGAAAGAATATGGACCTTCCCAGACAAAGAGAAACTCCGGAATTTCATTGCGACTAAACCCCCACTCCAAAAAATACTACAAGGAATCCTAAAGCCAGAACCTCAGAGGGACGAATAACAACGAAAGAAGACCAAAAAAAAAAAAAAAAGTTATTAAAAGAATAAATAAATAAAATCAAAGGAAAGACAAACATAATGGCAAATACAGATGCTAACATATCAATATTAACTCTAAATGTAAATGGACTAAACTCTTCAATAAAAAGACACAGAGTTGCAGCCTGGATTAAGAAACAAAACCCAACCTTTTGCTGTCTCCAGGAAACACATTTAGCTACAAAAGATAAAAATAGGCTCAAAGTCAAAGGATGGAAAACAATCCTACAAGCAAATGGGCCAAAAAAGAAAGCAGGAACAGCTATACTTATATCAGATAAAACAGACTTCAAACTCAAAAAAATAAAAAGAGACCCCAATGGTCACTACATTATGATTAAGGGGACAATACTTCAAGAAGAAATAACACTCATTAACATATACTCACCAAACGAAAGAGCACCAAAATATATCAGACAACTGTTGTCCTCTCTGAAAACAGACATCAGAGAAAACACATATGTAGTGGGAGACTTCAACACACCACTATCAACAATGGATAGATCAACAAGACAAAAAATAAGTAAAGAAACTAAAGCTCTAAATAAGGACCTAGAGCATTTGGGCTTAACAGACATCTATAGAACACTAAACCCAAAAAAAACGGAGTACACATTTTTCTCAAGCGCACACGGATCATTCTCCAGGATCGATCACATACTGGGGCACAAGACAAACATCAACAGATACACCAAGATTGAAATCATACCAACCATCTTTTCTGACCACGAAGGCATCAAACTAGAAATAAATCATAAAAAGAAGGCAAGGAACTATCCTACCTCATGGAGATTAAAAGCCACACTACTGGAAGACCACTGGACTAACGAGGAGATCAAAGAAGAAATTAAAAAATTCTTTGAATTGAATGACAAGGAGGACACCAATATCCTAAATGTATGGGATGCAGCAAAAGCAGTAATAAGAGGAAAATA